ATTTTTTATGTGTAAATTTTTTTTCCACGTAATAGCCCGATTTGAAATTTTATAGCACGGTCTTCTATTCAATTCTGGATTCGTCCCTGCATCCATCACTTGATAACTCACTATTAAAAATTCGATGAACTTAGTTACGTGACAAATAAAAATACTGACATGACACACTATTTCATTGGTTGATGACAAATTAACCGATCACGCACTTCCATCTATTAAGAGCACTTATAAAAAATATGATTAAAAAGTAGATAAAAATTATTAATGTTATAAATTGTATGATGAAAATGAATTTGAACAAAATAAATAAATATAGGAGTCAATCATGGACTTAATATTAGCGACTTAAGAAAATTTAAAATGAAGATCTCTCTACCCAACATGCCTATGATCGAATTAGTGGGTATCGATTCCTGCCTGCAAATATAGTATGTACGAGTTTGTTTCTCTCGTGAATTAATAACTAATAATTATTCAAGAACATCTTTCAAATGGAAATAAACAATTCACATATCATGTAAAAATTTTATTTATTTCATTCATATATATTCTTATATTTTTCGTACTATTTATAATTAAATAAATCCGTAATATTGCCAGATGCTGCTGTTAGAAAGGCAGCAGCAGCTAAAGGTTCCACATGGTGTGTTTGGATTTAACTCAAATTTTGTAGGACTATTTGCATGCAAAGACCGACCATTTTGTTTGTATATTAAATTTTCTTGCAAAAATCCAAAATACATATCCAGACAATTTGGATATGTACATTAACATATAGAGTACAATATGCTAGAAAAACTCATAAATTTTACTTTACAAAAAAATCCTAATAGATAATTTTCAAACGTTCAATTCAATGAGACTGTTGTACAACTGCGTTATATAATGCTATAAGATGAAGGTTTATTGTTTTCTTTCTTTCGATTTGGATGGATTATAGAACAATCTTCTTTAAACTTTTTCGATTTTAGTCCACTGTATAGAATTAAGTTATGAAGAATTTTGATAATCCAACTCGCAAAAAACTTTTGGTACATTATTTTGGTCTTCAAATTAATTATTCAAAAGCACGAATTGTTAGACAAGTCATGCTTTGTAAATGTGTTTTATCCAAAAATAAATAAATAAAAAATCAAGATTTGTTCAATATCACCGATTTTGTCTTCTTGATGATATGAATAATACATCATTATGATTATTCATATAATGAGGTTTGTAGACTATTGCATCAGTTCGAAAGTTTACTTAGTGTATACCCGAAGGGTAACAGTTGACAGTTTTTCCGTCATTAAAAAAAAAAAAAAAAAAAGTTAAGTGCATGACGATAAAACCTAGGGTCAACTATTTATTTAACCCTAGGGAGATGTTGTGAATATTAGAGGTGTTACGTTACATCATAGGTTGTTAACATCAATCGTGCCTAAGGCCCTTAGAGTTTTAAAAGAAAAAAAATTAATATTGTATTACATGGATTATATGTACTAATGAAACATGCCCATATGGATTTGCGGATTGTGTGCGTGAAGACAGAAAGAGATGGTGTCCGGGGATCCAATGTTCTCTCTCTCCTCTCTATTATCTACAAGGTTGAGACACCATTAAATATATGTCCCAAAGTCTCTAAATTTTACAATGTCAATATTTAATAATTAGAATTTTGACCATTTATTATCCCCCCCCCCCACTCCCACTCCCCCCCACCCCACCTTTTCTTTTTTAATTTCAGCAAATTAAAAACTTAATTGGCTAAAATTTAATAGTTGAAATTGATATTCTAAAATACAAAATTATTTATTTGCAATCAAATTTTAGGATCGATTTGATCGGACTTTTATTTTTTCTAGAAGAAATTATTGAGAAACTACCTTAATTGATATTAAGAAACTAATTTTAAAAAAAAAATTCTCATAAAAGCTCTTTTAATTAAAAGAAGTACTTTTATAAAATAATCAAATGGATTCAAAAGTAACTCTTGAATCCCAAAAACTACTTTCAACTTCTCAAAAGTCATATCAAATGGGCATTAATATGATATAGCATTATTAAAATCTAATGATCAATTCTATCGGTCTAAAACCCAAAAAAGTATTCAAAATTTAGGAACGACTTTTACAAAAAAAAAAAAAACAATCATTTTGTAAGGACATGTTATGGGTAAAATCTCTTACACATGAAATTATTAACTATGAATTTGAACTACTCCTCTTTCCAAGAAAGACATTTTAAGAAGGAAATTAATTCATACTTAGTTGAGTAAAGATCTGCTGTTCCATTTTATTGTCCATCCAATTAATTTTTGACATGTTATCAATAATTAATATGTTATCTCATATTTATCCACATTAAGTTCATCACTTACCTACTAAATTAACAATGTGTCAAGAATAAATTGAATGGACGATAAAATTGGACAACGGATCACTAGTTAACCCATTATATATCTGTTCTTCCTTTGAAAGTGTGAACAAAACCCCCAAAAATCTCGACTCTTGAAAAGTCACTGAAGGCAATGCATGTGGGCTTTCTCTAGCAAAAATCTTCTCTCTTTCTGGCTTTCTCAAGTCTCCCTCCCTCTTTCTTTCGCTCTAAAAGTTTAAAAAAAAATTCTTCATGTTCTTGGAAAGCAATCAGTATTACTCCTATTCAATGTCAAATAAAGAGTTTTTTCTCATCAACGAAGAAGATAAAGAGATCAAGCTCGAGAACTCATCGCAACCTAAACTGGAAAATCAAGATTCTTGTCAAGTAAATGATACAGAACAGGGACAAGATAAAGATTGCGAGGGCTCAATTTCTTCATCAAGAGAAGAACCAGAAAATCTATGTTTAGAGCAATTCCGAGTAGCAGAATCTGATGATGGATTCAAAACTCCGACATCATTGGATCACAAAATCCCAGTGATCGAACAGTGTCCACCAGCACCCAAGAAAACCAGGGCACAGCCCTCAACTTCAACAAAAAGAAAAGCATCCCCAAGAAACCTCCAGTTTGATTATTCGACAGAAGTTGAGTCAATGTTTCTTGCAATTTCCAAGGACGACGATGATGATGATGTAGACCAGAAAAGGAAGAAAACTCGACGAGACGATGAAGATTGATAGATTGTTTCTTAACTTATAAGGTCCTACACCGTAGGGGGGGGGGGTGGAATCTCATCTGTTGAATTTTTTAGTTCTGTACCTAATATGGTTAAGGAATTTACTGTAAAGAATGAACATTTTCTTGTATTGCTAATGGTGTTCTTGAATGTCTTGAATAGACAGTCCGATACATAAATTACATTCACACGCACTAACAAACAGAAATTTTATACAGATGTTTGTTGGAAAAATTATTTCACTTTTAAGTTATTTGGTAGTTATATTTGGTTGGTTCTTTTCAGTGGTGGATTGGTCTAACAATTTATGATATTTTGAAAAGTAAAAAGTGGAAAAGATCAGACGTTATACTTCCAACTTTATTTTGTATTCAAAAAAAAGAAAACAGACATTTTTTCCTTTGTTCTTTCTCTGAAATAACAATTAGCATAGGATACCAAGATAAGAATTACCAATATGGATTATTACGTGTTCGGTTTTGTTAAGTGCTTCGTGTGAAATATGATTACTCTTTGATTGAGATTGAGGGGCAAAAAAAACATTTACTGAAAGAAGAGTTGAAAAGCATTCATTTTCTGGGTTAATTGTCAAACTAGGTATGTATATTTGTGGGAATTCTTTCAAACTAGGAATCCTATGAAGAACTTTGGGAGCTGATAATAGAATAGTATTTTTTTTTTTTTTTTTTTTTTTTTTTTTTTTTTTTTTTTTTTTTTTTTTTTTTTTTTTTTTTTTTTTTTTTTTTTTTTTTTTTTTTTTTTTTTTTTTTTTTAATATTCTGCTGTCTATAGTTCTGATGAGACAGTGTGCCAGATGAAGAAACTGTGTTTTACTCTCATATTCTTTTTAACGAGTAGGTGTATATTGCGAGTTGTTGTCTAAAAATTTTCGACAGGAATGTGCAACTCGAAAAATACTTCAACAATTAAGAGAACATGAGTGTTCATATTCACAAAATTTAACTCGAAAAATGCTTCAAGGATAGAGAATTATGAGCGTTCCCCTTAAGAGTATTCTCCCATGTTAGTTAGCAGAGGGTGTTCTTTATACGAAACCCAATTGATATGGTAACATACAATGACTATTGGATACTACACAGAATTGGCTTGTTTCCGCAAGTGTTTGAGAAATTTTTAGTGGGATAGTCGTATGTACACATGTGATAGGGTTGTTCACTCAAAGTAAGACCGTACGCTCAAAATCATAGTGGCAATATTTTGACCGTCCCACTCCATTTCTCTTTTATTTACTTAGTGTTTGACTTGTTGGGAGGTTTAGAGTCTAATGGATGTGATTTGAGTGAACAATCATACCAAGTGTGCTTATAAGACCGTTCCACTAAAATTTTTCTCGTGTGTTCATGTATCCCTAAGGTGGAAGTTATTTCAAGTTAGTTTCAATGGACAGACATGACTGATTCATTCTAATCAATTGTCGATCTTCTATCTGGACCGATCAATATTTCCTCCCTCAGTCCATTCAAATGGATAATCAAACTATTGTATACATTTTTTCAGAGCAGGACCTCGAACATACAAAAATTTCAATTATTCGAATTGACTCAACTTGTTCGCACTGATTATTCATCTTATTCTTCAGTACTATTTTTACTCTATCAAACATGTCTATAATATGATTATATTAGTCAATAGATAGAACAAGGGGATGTAATGGATAAGATTTTCACTTTTAATTTTGGATTGTCCAAAGTTAACGGTTTACATACATACCCTTGTTTTCCTCTCTTCCACTTCTCTCTTTCCACTCCCTTTCCAAGAAAAGAAACAATAATAAGTGAATTGCATGCATGCTTAAAGATTCACCCAACAAAAAACTACGAACATTTCCAGTTATGGATAGAAATTCACGACGGACGTAAATGTTAATCCATTCATTTCCATTTTTTTTTTCTTTTTGATTCAATTCAATGAATAGTTTAAGCAATTCTACAACAATGGAGCGTAGAACGCTTACAATGAACTGGGATGGTTTGGGAGAAGACGATGATGAATGCTTCTTTGAATCTCAAGAAAGAATGTCATCGGCCGTTCCTCTCGATTTCGCGGCCTTGTCAGGATCGGATGAGGACGAAGAATTTGAGGACAGCAGAATGTCATTTGCTTCCGCTATCTCTGCAGCCTCCATTAAAAGGATTGGCAGCCTTGAGATTGAGGCAGTAGTACCTACGAGCTCTTCATCTGTATTAGGAGGATATGACGTGTGGATGGCAGTACCAGGGGACATTAAGGAGCGGCGCAAGAAGCTGTTTCAAGGTATCGCTAGATTTCCATTTTAAAATGTCAACTATTAATTCAAACCTTATACAATCTATTATTATATTACTATTTAAATGACTAGGAATTTTATGCTGACAGATATTGGATTGAACAGCAACAAGGATTTTCTAAGGGTTACTACTGCCAAATTTGTTCGAGGAATTTCAATCAAGCCTGATGTTCCTCCTCCCCAAGCTTCTAAATCGATGGAAGATTCTTCTCCCCCGGAAGAACAAAAAAAAGACAAGCCCAAGGCCGAGGCTACTGCAGGGCCTGAGGCTGAGGCTTTACCTGAAGCGCCAATTGTGTTTGTTAGGTCGAAATCAGATGGTGATATAGAGAGTTTTTCTGTGAAGACGAAAAAGAGGAAAGAGGAACTAATAGGTCGTGTACCAAAACAGCGTTTAACTAGAACATCGTCAGGACAACTAGCACATAGCACAGGTGTTTGTCACTATGCATGTTCAGCTCAAATGTCGAACCCGAAAAGGGCTAAAACCAAATCAGCCCTGCCTAGTGAGGTGTTACAATCTGTATTTTCACCTGATGCTTTTGACTCATTCTTCCTGATAAAGAATTTGGACACTGGAAAGGAGTTTATTGTGAAAGAATCCAATGAAAAGGGAATGTGGAATAAGCTAAATGACGTTCAAACTGGGAAACAACTTACAATGGAGGAATTTGAGAAATCTGTTGGATATTCACAGTTTGTGAAGGAAGTAATGGCTCGTACTAATGTCTCAAGGAGTCTTGACGATGCCAAGAAAGTAAATATTAATTCATATCTAACTAAGAGTTTCAGGAATGGCAAAAGAATGGGTGCCTATTTCTTGAAGAACATCATGGGAGTGGCAAATACCATGAATGGAAAAGTTGTAGAAAAAGAAGGAGAACATTCTTCACAATCTTCACTGGTAGAACAGAGAGCTAATAAAACTTCGTCACAATGGATCAAAGCTCACCAGTATGGGAAATCCTACAAAGAATTTTCAGCTTTGCACATGTCTCAAGAAATTCAAGCTCATGACGGCTCAATATGGACGATTAAGTTTAGCTGGGACGTGTGTTTCCTGGCAAGCACGGGAGAAGATGGTATAATTCATGTATGGGAAGTGCAAGAATGTGATGTTACGTCAACAAGATCGCCTGATAATACAAATTCACCGGGGGAAACACCTGCTCACCCGATGGCAGGCACCACTTCAGATCAGCCTCCACTAGCAGAGATTACACCTATGCCATCCGCAATGAAAAGAAGAGGGGGGAATAATAGGAAAAAGGGAAACTCGATTCCAGACTATGTTAGTATGCCAGAAACCGTATTTTCTCTTTCAGAAAAGCCGTTCTGCACTTTCAAAGGTCACCAAGGCCACGTGTTAGATCTCTCATGGTCAAAATCTCAGGTCAGCTTCCCACATCGTAGTTTCTAGTATAAGGTAGGAGCGCAATAAATTATTTGATTCATTGTATAATTCATTCGTTTTTCTTCCTAATTAGAACTAGTCGTCTGTAAGAGTCAAGAAATGGTAAAAATTTTGAAATAGAACTCTCTGTTTTCTGATTCTTAAGATGACCATTTAGTTAATAACTGGAAACAGTTAACATAAAGGAATAAAGTTCTATGCAGCTACTGCTATCATCTTCGATGGACAAGACAGTTAGGCTGTGGGACTTGGAGACAAGAAGCTGTTTAAAGATGTTTGCACACAATGATTATGGTGAGACACCGAACTTATGCTGCAATTATTCAATCACCAGGGCCTAAAAATTGCTTATGATTGTTGACGTGTTATTTGTATTAGTCCTACTTCTGATGAGTATGGTTTGGCAGTCACTTGTGTACAGTTCAATCCAGTAGATGAAGATTATTTCATCAGTGGTTCACTTGATGGAAAGGTCCGAATTTGGAGCATACCTGATCGTCAGGTTGTCAACTGGACAGATCTCCATGAGATGGTTACAGCTGCTTGCTACACTCCTGATGGCCAGGTACATACATCCAAATTTTCATACAATTCTACCGAAACTTGTATATGAAAGGACTTTTACATTACTTCAGTTCATGTAAAATCAACTCTGTACATCTACATCTCTATCGAATTCTTTAGTAACACCACCTGTTTAAATTCACACCCCATTTGAAATCAGATCTTGAAGATGAACGATATAACTAACTTATGTTTGTTTGGAGGATTTACCAGTAATGTTCTATGAATAGGAGAATCTTAAGACCTTGATTGGCTCCTGAATCTGTGAAGTACCATGCTGATAATAATTCTTTAACTGTTGAAGGGTGCAATCATCGGCTCGCATAAAGGGATCTGTCATTTGTATACTATAGATGGTATGAACAGCTCTTCAATTTCCCATCATATTTTGTCCATGACTGCCTACGTTAATCTTCAGTTTATTTTGCTACTTAGACTGCAAATTGGAACAGAAAGATCTTATTGATATTCAATGCAAGAAAAAGTCTCAAGCGAAAAAAATAACAGGTTTTCAGGTAATTAATTTCACTTTAAACGCTCTCCATTCAGGAACTTTCTAGCAAGTAACTATGTTTCTTTGTTCACAGTTCTCCCCGCAGAATGCATCGGAAGTGCTCATTACTTCAGCTGATTCTCAGATTCGAGTCTATAATGGAACAGAGCTCGTACAAAAACTTAAAGGTATATATATCCTCGATATGTTCAGTTGGAAAATCGTGATGTAATGAATCCAAGTAACAACACCATTGGTGACAGGATTTCGAAATACTAGCAGCCAAATATTAGCTCAATTCACAGCAAATGGAAGATATGTCATAAGCGCAAGCGAAGATTCTCAGGTCTATATCTGGAAACTTAAAGATTCAAAAAATGAAGGAGGTGGGAAAAGCAGTAGGACTACCATCCAGACATATGAGCACTTCCCATGTAAAGATGTTTTGGCTGCAATTGCATGGCCTGGCAGCATAAAAATTGAGCCACCAATTGTAGACATAAATTCCAAAAGGCAGTCCAAACACTCCAGTGCAACACAACCATGTTCCACAAGCAGTTCTCCAACCCAAGAAGACAACAAGGCTGGTGAAATCAGCAAGAGGCATTTGCCTCCACTTCCTAAGAAAAGCAAAGTACTCGAGAAAAGTCCAAGCTACACGGAAGAGGACTTTGCCCAATCTGCTCGAATAGACTCTGAAAATGATATCAATGAGTCATTTGGTTCATCCTCTTCATTGATTAGGCATGGTGACTCACCTTCCATTTCTGCTTCTGGGACTGCTGGATCTCAACCCTGGTCCTCATCTTGGTCCTTGTTCGATGGTAGCAGTAGCCATGGAAGCCAAACCGTCCAAGCAACGGCATGGGGCCTGGTCATCATAACAGCAAATGTGGGAGGACAGATCAGGGTTTATCAAAATTTTGGGTTGCCTCTCAAAGTCAGTAGACAAACCTATCTCTTCCTGTCATAGATATTTGCTATAAGATGGGAACAAATCCCAGCAAGAATCCTGTACTTTAGTAAACAAAATTGTTGATCCCAAAGGCGACGCAAGGATTGAGATTAATGACATTGTATGAATATGTAATAAGATCATAAAGATAAAACAAGATTTTAAGTAAAGAAATCAAAGAAAGTTAAGCAGAGGAAACGATATTTTATTATAACGATGATATGGAGAGAAAGTTACAACATAGCAATTCTGGTTTGAACTAAACTAAAAGAAGAGTTCACTATTTATAGGTACATACCATACCATAAAGATGGAAATAATATGAAATAATGATAGGGCCGGCCCTTGAGCCAAGCCACCTAGCCAACCGCCTAGAGCTTCCAAATTTTGGCTTGGGCCCAAGGCCTCAAAATCCATATTAATTCCAAAATGAAAAAAATGGTTTGGGGCCTTTGGGTTTTAGGAGTCTACATAAACAACCGTGAACTACCTCCCTCACTCCTCAAGACTTTTTATCTTTTCAATTTGAGAATTATTCCACTTCCTCTCAAATTCAGAAATTCTCAAATCTCAATCCTCTGCTTCGGTTCGGTGCTTCCAGAATCCGGAATTCTCTAGGGCCTCCAAGCTTCCATTTCCACGGACCAGTGTCAATGGACAAAAATTCGAAATCTACCGCGAAAACCCCCAGTTTCTCCGCCTCTCGCACTCGCATAGTCGCACGCCAGTCTGTCCTGTGCCAGATTCCTTTTTTTCTTTTTTTTTTATCTTATCAGGTCCTTGGTTTTGGTAAGCAGCCTTATATGTCTGATTTAGATTGATTACTGATTAATGATTATTTGTTAATTTGGCTTTGACACTAAATTTCATTTTCATTTTCATATTCTTTTAAAATTTAATATCTCAATATCTCACTATGAGTCTAATGGTTTGGTCTTAATTTAAATAAAAGGCAATTTTTCTTTTTTTTTTTTTGTTTGATTGGATTTTATATATTGTAGTTTAATATTTTCATGTTATATGAGTGTTTAAGAAGACTCCGATCTCCAATTGCTTTTTAGTGAGATTTATAATTTAGAAGTTCTTTTTTTTTTTTTTTTAGGTTGAATTCTAATTTCCAATTGTTGTTTTTGCTGAAAGTTCTAATTTACTAGCAGCTAGCTTTGCTTGTTATTTTTATTGCATGATATTGTTTGTTCATGAAACGGGCTTATTATATTAATTTGAAACAAATAGTTCTAAAATCACTCTTTCCAAGGCCTTTTGTAATTATTCGATAAAAAATAAATTCATCAAAGTGATTTAAAAGAATGCTTTAAATGTTAGTATATAAAATTGAAGAAGATAGCCAAATATAGATATGAGATCCAGACTCATACTCAACTCTAGCTCGTTTATGGAGGTCTTTAATCAAGAATGGCTAATATAATAAATCAAATTTTTTTCTTCTTCTTTGGAGAGTGATTTCATATAGAGATTGTAAGTGATATTTTATTTACCAATTCTATCTTTTAGATTGTACAAAGTTTTCATAGAAATATAGATTTTTTTTTATTTAAATATTGTTATACGTGGAGAAAAACAAAGTATGGGGCCTCAAGATTGCCAACTCGCTTAGGGCTTCCGAATTGTCAGGGCCGGCTCTGAATAATGAAATAATATATTTTCAATAAAATCACGTGAAAATAAGAAAATAATTATTTTTCCTAATTTGGGTTATAAACCTAATAATCTCCACTTTGACTCAAATTCCGATACAACGAACGAAGCTCCAAAATTCTTTCACCTGATAAAATATGTCCAACTGCATTGAAATAATCAAACTCTTCAAAATAGTAACCAAAACTCTCCCTCAGAAGAAAAAAAAAAAAACCTTCCTCTGCCCCTTGTCCATAAGTGACAGCCGAACCCAACTCTCGAGTTCCTAAAATTCCACTAAAGAATTACTGTTGACCAAATAAGGTCGAAGCACACCATATAGCAGAAACCACACCATATACATAATTAGAAGTCCCCTTATTAGTATTGTCATCTTCAACGATCCCGAAAACATTACAGACATTACTGACACCATTGTACCTACGCTCCCTTGAGCAATGTTTTGAACGACTCAGAGTTCCTCACAAAAGGTACTGTACCAAACTCAATATCCACCACGGTATTGAACTTGTCCAGATGTCTCTTAATTAGTTCTGCGCTTCCCTACAATATGTATAACTGAGACTTCTCCCGTCCCTCCAGTACAATCCGGACACCCCTTTGGACCTTCAAGACTCCACTTCTACCAGAGAAATTATATCATTTTTCATTCAGGATACTCAGCGAGATGAGATTCCTTTTCAGGTCTAGAACATGTCGAACATGATCAATTGTTCTAACCATCCCATCATACAACCTTAGGGATGTCAATTGGGCCGAGTCGGCTCGTCCAAAAATGTGAAAAAAATAAAATTTTATCAATAAAATTTGAAAAATTTGCAAAAAAAATAAAAAAAAAAATTCACAAGCTTGTGAGCCGCTCGTGGGCGAGAGCAACGAGCCGAGCTTTCGGCTCGACCCACTGCCATCCCTTTACAACCTTAATTTGACTCGACCGATCTAGCAACACGGCAAAACTGATTGTTTCCCATCACAATTCCACCTTACTTGACAACCTATATGTCTGAAAGAAATTACGATTGAAACACATATGATGCAAACATGTCGAATTAAGAATCCACTCCTCGTCAGGTTTAGACTCTACGTCAAATACTATGGTCAACATCACATCACCGCCATAAAAAAAATCTCGATAACATTAGCCTTGTCCGAATTGAATGATTGTTCCCTATGATTTGTAGCTAAATTACCTTTAGCCTACAATTTGTCACAATTCTTTTTAACGTGTCCTCTCCTTCTGCAGTAGAAGTAGTACAAATTACTGAAGTTGACTTTCGATCTACCCTTTCGTCAATCACCATGAGATATAAGCTTCATCATCCCTCAGTGTAGCTCCAACCAGATGTTTCATCATCTTCTTTGAGAACAGAGCATCGTAGACATCCTCAACAGTCAAAGTATCACAACTGTACAGAATGGTGTTCTAAAACGACGAATAAGAGGCGGGCAGGGAACACAATAGGATCAAGGCCAGATCATCCTCGTTGTATTCAACCTCCAATGTCTCTATCCTGCGACTATTTTCTTGAACAGGGCAATGTGGTCTTCCAGTGACCCTCCTTCCATCATGCAATGGGAATACAGCTTTTACTTTAGAGTTAGTTTGCTAGTGAAACTTTTAGTCATACATAACGGCTCCGGTTTCAATCATAAAGCAGCCATTGTTTTCTTCTTCAAGACGTCCTGCAAAATATTATTGGATAAATGGAGATGAATCTATGATAAAGCCTTGCGATCCCTATGTTGTTTCTCCTCCACTGTCCAATTAGCTGGCATCTTTTCAAAATCCAACAACGCATCATCCATATCCAATTGTACCCAAATAACCCTCATCTTTACTTGTCACAGAGAAAATCTTGTATTGCAATATAACAACGGAATATCATATTTCAATATGGTCATATCTAAAAAATCCCAATCAAATTATGAAGAACCTTCAGCCTAGCTCTGATATCATTTGTTGATCCCAAAGACGACTTAAGGATTGAGATTAATGACGTTATATGAAATGTGTAACAAGATCATAAAAATGAAATGAGGTTTAAATTAAAGAAATCAAAGAGAGTTAAGCAGAGGAAATGATGTTTTATTATAACGATAATATGAAGAGAAAATTACAACACGACAATTTTAGCTTGAATTAAACTGAAAGAAGATACCACTATTTATAGGTACATACCATATTATAAAGATGGAAATAATATGAAATAAGGAAATAATATATTTCCAATAAAATCACGTAAAAGTAAAAATAAGGAAACAATTTTTTTCCTAATTTGGGCCATGAACCCAACAAAAATTTGTACAAAATGGAGAGCACACAGAGTAGGATAAAGTGCTAAACCTGCTCAAGCATAGAGTATTGAGCATTTAAGCCTTGTATTTCAGCCTGCAAGAAAAGATATTAACAACAACATAAGCAAGTAGTTGGTGAAAATGAAATATATTACATTAGAAATGTAGAAAAGAGTACAAGAAATTCAAACTCTTGAGTTACATTTCTAATTTAATATACTATAAGAGAGCCCTATCAGGTTTGATGATGTTCTCCTTAAATCCTTCATTTTTTGTTTCTGCTCGTAAAATTGTTTCCCTGCACTTCCAATTTTAAAAATTTGTGCACGAGCTAATAGCCTTGCAATCCTTTCTCAGTGGGCAGCTATGGCTACCCGTGCACGAACAATCTCATAAACTTTTGCTAAAATATATTGAAGCTTAACAACAATTTTGAGGAGAATGGACCAGAATTGGCAACTGGTTGTATACAGCATAACATGATCAATTAATTATTATTTATCACTCTGGAGAATAATCTGATTATTATTTCAAGGCCCAAAAGAAATTTAAATATTTTGGCATTGAATGCACCAGGGGGGATATCTGAGAAACTCAGTTTTATAAAATTATCCTAATTATTTAGAAATCATATTATCTACAGTATCTACTTTATTTCTATCTGAAGGTATTTTCATATCATACTTTGGCTACTTAAACCACTTCTTGAAATTATGTGAAAAAGTAAAAATGTAGGGATTTATGACAAATCCTCCACGGTAAGAATAACTGTTTGATATCAGTTGAATATTTAAAGTAACTTAAAACAATCTAAGTCCATGTTTGCCTCCATATTTTAAAACTCATTTCCAATGTTTTATGAAAACTACAATTTTTATTATCTTTTCAATTACATATTTTATCAATTTTTATCAAAATCTACTAAATATTTAACTAAACCAAATAGGGACTAAGATTCATAATTAAAAGAGTCAAAATATACGAGATCACTCAGTCCGAAGTGGCCAAACACATGAAAGGCAAGGCACAGCCTGTCACAGGCCGTGCCATGTGCCAACTCACCTCTATTATCCGACTTTGTAGTAAAGATCCGCAACAATATGAACTACTATTATAAAAAAATATAGAATGTTAAATTCTCGTCCACACAAAAAATATTAAGTTTATAATGCGAAGATTTTAGACCTGTCCACCCACCTATAAAAATGAGCTCGTGGTCAAGGGCCGCCACAGAATTTGGTCGTGGTCGTGCCCATTTATTGGGATCGAGTGTGCACCTCAATTTATAGAATATCAAATATGTACTCAGCTATAAATAACCAATTTCTTAAAAGTTTACGAATTTTCTGCCATGATAGGACCGCACGGAGAGAAAAAGAAAATGGAGAAAAACAGAATGGAAGCTTCCTCTTCGTGTCCTCTAGCCACTGTAGAAGAAATTAAAAAACGCCTCATTCGACCTCCAAATTCTCAACGGCAATATTAATATTTGTTAAAATTATTTATGTGCAAATGTGCAATCATATATAACTTTTAGCTTTGCAGTTAGATAATTTTGAATTTTTATTTTTTTCTGTTTTTCATCAGGCGTGATAGGATTAGCCAGAGCTCATCACAATTGAATGTGAGTTCGCTGAAAATTCAAGAAATTAAATTGATGAGAGAAATATCAACCAAGAAGCTCGAGGATTATCTAGATCCCGTAGTTCTCTCTGCAGTTCGTGTGAAAATTGGAGGCAAAAGAAAATTCGATGAAGAGAAGAAAATTAAGAGCGGAAATTCGAACGAGTTTGAACAATTTGAGAAGTGGTCTAAAGAGGAAAAATTACCGAAATCTGAGCAGAATGAAGCC